TGGTAAGAGTGACTGAAATGTTCTACAGGAAATACACAAAAATTCAACTAAAAAACTTTAAAACCCCCACAATTCCTCATAAGTTTCATCATTTCCACATTCATATTGCATCTCCAAAACAGCTTTTCTCACATCTGGGAGGATGAGATTCCTGTGTACAGTCAGCCAGAAATCTTGATTCAAGTCAGAAAATGTGCCCTTAGTCACTACCCCTCACTCATCTCTGTTCTATATGAATTAAAATCAATTTTTTTCAATAAGCTCATAAGATTATATATTTAATATATGGACCAAGCATTGCGCTAGATGCTGGAGAAGCAAAGTAAAACACAATCCTAACAGAAAATGTTAAAACCATGTCATGAATGTGGGACACAGGTTCCTGCTTTTCCGAGGAACTAAGTATAAACTTCTAATGTGATCATATCCTTTGTCCATTTTTCTCAGTAAAGATGCTAACATCATAGCACAGACAGGCTATAAGAGTAGATACCATTTTTCACTCACTAGATTATGAACAATATCCAGGGGTACCCAGTAAGTTCAATAAAAGGTATAGATGCTATATGGTAGGTGTTCATCCAATTTACCATTTGGACAAAACTGAGTGGATGAGGAATTCCCACTGAGCTCTGCTGGATGGGTATCTGAAAAGCAGCAAAAAAAATTTAAGGAGAATGCACAAACAGCAACAAGTTACAGGGGAGAAAACCAGCTAGGCCTGTTCAGGGAAACTGTAGTTTAGGACTTGTGGAGCATAAGGAAAGCTGAAGAGATAGGAAAAGACCAATGTAATGTGGCTTTGTACCAAACTAAGGAGCTTGGCCATCATCCTGCATCTTTGTCATGATAACAGTAATGCTAGCTAACACTCACTGACGTTTGCTTTGGTCTTACTAATGCTGCAGCAAAACACCGACCATCAGCAGAGTTTGTGAACTGCATTTCTTTATGCTTTTTTTCTAGAGGGAAAGCGTACAGGGCAGAAGAGATGAGCTGTTGAAGGATTTTGAACAAGAGTACTGTGGGGGGAGGGGTGTGTATGTGTGTGTGTGTGTGTGTGTGTCTGTGTGTAAAATCTTTTTTTCTAAAATAGAGTATCCTGGGGCTGGAGAGATGGCCCAGTGGTTAAGAGCACTGGCTGCTCTTGCAGAGGACCTGGATTTGATTCCCAGCACCCACATGGCAGCTACAAACCATCCTTAAGTCCAGTTCCAGGGGAATCCGAAGCCCTCTTCTGACTTCCACGGCATTGCACAACACAGGTGCACTCACATACATGCAGGCAATACACTCATACACATAAAACTTAACAAAATAATTTTAAAATAGAGTATCCATATGTAGCACAGGCTAGCTTCAAATTGACAATCCTCCTACCTCAGCCTCCTGAGTGCTGGGATTACAGGCATGCACACCATACCCAGCTTGATACTTAAAACACATCTCTCTGTACATACTATTTAATTAATTTACAAAATAATTTTGCCTTTGTTTCAAAATAACCAGAACTAGATTGCTATAAGCTATTAATTACTGAAGCCGGGCAATGCATATGAGTCCTTTATCTTTTTTGTATGTTTGACTTTCTCTCCACAAACATTTTCTTAAATTTATGACTGCAATGTGGAAAGCTGGTAGAACAGTATAAAATAGGAAAAGATGTGTTAGCAAATGGTTCAATGAGAGAACATGAGAACTGAGAAAACAGGTTGGAAAGAATTTTTTTATTATTTTTATGTATATGCGTGTATTGCCTGCATGTAGGTAAGTGCACCCATGTCATGCAATGCACGTGGAGGTCAGAAGAGGCTGTCAAATCCCCTGGGACTGGAGTTACAGACAGTTGTTAGCTGCCATGTGGGTGCTGGGATTCAAGCCCTGGTCTTCTACAAGAACAACCAGTGTTCTTAACCGCTGAGCCATCTCTCCAGCTCAGAAAGAGTATTTTAAGAGGGGGAAAAAAAATACTTAACTAGTTGTATGATGGGGACAGAAAAATCTAAAGTTTAAAGTCAGTCTTACTACCTAGTTTAAGTGACTGGGTTAAACAACTGCTAACGTGACCAGGGATAGAGAACTAGAGAGCGGGAAGGACACATGCAAATGCTTTCTACACAATTTACAGCCATCAACACACTACAGAACAAAAAATACTTTTTACATAGCATGTAAGCGCTAGTACTTCCTTCCCACAGATAATGGGTTGTAGCTCACACTCAGGGTTCCTATGAACTCCCTACTCTAAGGGTAACTCACTGACTATGCAGTTAATTGCCATAGAAGAGGATGTCCAACTGCTTGAAAATTGTTTGGTTCCCTATAAACTGAGAGCACCACTTTTCTTACAGTACCGAGAAGCACATGAAATCCAGCATACATACTTAACCCCACATCCTACCTTCTCCCCACACCTCTAGGTCAGCCTCCATTTCCTCCAATTTAGAATAAGTGTTTTTCCCATGTGATGATGAAATGGAGATGCATTTGAGTTGATTACAAGTAGCTTCAGAGTTCTTTGAAGGTGTGTGCATTTTATGAGCATTTATACTTGCCTCCATCCCAAGCAGAAGCCACAAAGAGACAGAAATGCAAGTCACAGCCCATGCAGCTCATCCATTCATTCTATGCAAGCCTGAAAGGGGTTACACATCCTCACCAGAAATACAGTTAACATCCACACACTTTCTATCCAGTGAGGAAAATGACTTTCACCTTTGAGCCAGGACAGTTCTTTAAAAGACTAGTTAGTCATTCTGTATGGCAAAGCATCACCTCACAGCTAAAGACGGTTCCCCACAAAGCAGGCACTGAGTTATAGCCAGGCTATCATAGTAACTACAAATAAGAGAATAGCATGAAGGGGTTCCTGGTGTGCCTCCAATCTCAAAGAATTAGCTTGGCACTGGTTGTAAGGAAAAGCAACGAAAACCTGACTCAAATGCCCTAATGCCCATCGAAGGAAAAAAAATATTAAAAAGCAAGAAACAGGCTCAGTTGTGTCTGTCTATAGAACAAACAGCACATTTGTCTTGGAGGTTGGAACTGGATTTTTTTTTTTTTAAACTCTGCTCTAAGTGATATATAAAGATCTAGAAGGTTTAACAAAGTACAGTTAAAAGTTAAACTCTGTTTCCATCATTTTCTCTAGAAAGGTATGGTCCTGTACATCTTAACATTCCAGGGAA